GAAAAAAAAAAAAAAAAAAAAAAAAAAAATAAAAAAAAAAAAAAAAAAAAGACCAGAAAGCAAAAAGACGGCAGGTCAGCTCTCCTAGATTTCTGTATCGTGATGGCTACTCTGTCGAAAATTGTCCAATTTCGACAGGTATGTGTCGAAAAAATACTGTTGGTAAAAAAAAAAAAAAAAAAATTTTTTTTTTTTTTTTTTTTTTTTTTTTACCAATAGTGTTTTTCGACACCTACCTGTCGAAAATTGTCCAAATTTCGACAGGTAGGTGTCGAAATTTGATTTTTTTTTTTTTTTTTTTTTTTCTTTTTCGACACGTTGGTGTCGAAAATTGACCAAAAATCGACCTGTATGTGTCGAAAATTGCCGACGGGTTTCAAAAAAAAAAACTTCAAAATCGACTTCGAAGCTCAAAAAAGACATCGATACTTACCTTAATGGCTTCTCTTTCCACATATACTACCATATTATTGTCTTATAACTCCATTTTATAAGTTTTGTGAGGTTTTGATTTTTTGAATTTGGAGATGTTTTGGAGGATTTAAGAAGATGAAAAAGATAGGGTTTAATTGGGTTGTCGCGGCAGTTACGAGCACGTACGGTGGCGTTCGACGGCGGCGGCGTCGGCGGCGGCGGCGGCGGCGTCGGCGGCGGCGGCGGTGGTCAGGGCTGGAGAGGAGAAGAAATGGTGGAGGTTTTTTTTTTTAACAACAAAGGGTTTTTTTCTTTTTTTTTTTATTTGGTTTTTGAATAGGTAATTTCTAATAAAATTTGATATAATTGATATTTTGTATGAAAGGGTGTTTTTGTAATTTTCTTTTTATTTTGGTTTTAAAGTAAGAAAAAACTTATAAATATGTACTCAATTGTGGTTTTCAACTAGGTAGTATTCAACTAAGCAAAAATTAGTATTCAAAATAGTTGCCCCCTAAAAATAACTAACAATTTTGAAAATATTTTCATTTATTTAAGAAACTTAATTAAGATTTAATAAACAGTACTATAACTTTGAAATATTAATATTTTTAAATCCATAAATAAATGGAATGATATTGGTGTTGCCCTAAAGTTAATTTGATTTTCTGGACTAGGGTAATGTTATAATTAAGCTGGTATAAGTTAGTTAATTTTGTGGAAGAACTAAAGAAAATTGTTAGCCGCCGAAATTTATATATAAGGTACAAAGTATAAACCTACTTTTTTGTTTAGACTACCTTAATTTAATTCAATTGTCTGAACCACGTGCAAATTTATTTTGTATATATATACATGCACACACCACTTGAATATATCATTCAAGATAAGTTAGAAGAACAATTAAGCTGAGTGAAGAAGATGGCCATGAAAATGAATACCAACATCTTTCAATCCCCAAAATACCCTTCCTTTTCTCTGCCGGCAGTTGTTACTACTAGCCTCCGATCTCCTAAGCTTTTCACGGCGACTTCTTCGTCTCTTCGCTCTCGTTCAAAGTAAGGACTTCTTTTGTAATTTTATTTTACCTACTTTCGTATGATAGCAAATTTAATTTAATTAATGTTCGAAATTTTATTTTATTACGTAAAATTTGAATTCGCATGCATGCATGCATGCAGCAAGGTCGAGATGAAAGTGAAGAATTCGCTTCGTAGTCCTTGTCATGTTCAAACCACACACTCTATGCCACCACATAAAATTGAAACCTTCAAAGCTATGGAAAGCTGGGTTGAAGACAACGTACTTGTTCACCTTAAACCTGTCGAAAATTGCTGGCAACCACACGATTTCTTGCCGGACCCCGCTTCCCCTGACGAGTTTCACGATCAGGTGAAGGAACTGAGAGAGAGAGCTAAAGAGATTCCAGACGACTATTTTGTAGTTTTAGTTGGTCATATGATCACCGAAGAAGCCCTTCCAACGTATCAAACATGTCTTAATACCTTGGATGGCGTGCGTGATGAAACAGGTGCGCCAGTATAGGGCCACGTGGGGCCATCTATAATTTGTCTTCGACGAGCATATATAAAATTTTGATTTTTCCACACTGCAGGTGCAAGCCCTACTCCGTGGGCAGTATGGATAAGGGCGTGGACTGCTGAAGAAAATAGACACGGCGATCTTGTTAATAAGTATCTCTACCTATCGGGACGAGTGGATATGAGACAAGTCGAAAAGACAATCCAATATTTAATTGGATCCGGAATGGTAATTAATTAATTATATATTTACAATAATATTTGATTGTTCGTACGCAGCGACGGACCTCAACATTTAGCCCATCATATATCTGTACCAACTGTTTATATTTTTACTATACTCAATTTCAAAAACACTTGTACAAATTCCTGGATTCGCTATTCAAATAAAAAAAAACTGTTTAATTCACGTAGGGCTCAAGTACAGAAAACAATCCTTACCTCGGATTTATATACACATCATTTCAAGAAAGGGCTACATTCGTCTCCCACGGCAGCACAGCCAGACTAGCACTGGGCCACGGCGACGTAAAATTGGCCCAGATTTGCGGTACAGTCGCTTCTGACGAAAAACGGCACGAAACAGCGTACACAAGGATAGTGGAAAAGCTATTCGAGATTGATCCCGATGGAACAGTAATAGCATTTGCAGAGATGATGAGGAGGAAGATCACTATGCCAGCTAGTTATATGTACGACGGTGTAGATGATAATCTATTCGACAACTTCTCGGCTGTTGTGCAGCGGCTAGGTGTCTACACCGCAGCCGACTATACGGATATCGTAGAATATTTGGTCGGAAAATGGAAAGTGGGGAAGTTAATAGGATTGTCTCCACAAGGTCAGCAAGCTCAGGACTATGTATGTGGGTTGCCGAAACAAATGAGAAGGTTAGAGGAGAGAGCTCACGATCGAGCCAAAAAACGACCCGTAATTCCGTTTAGTTGGATATATGATAGAAAGGCATGAATAATTATGTTCATGTTACGTTTTTAATTACTTCACTTTAATAATTGGTACTAAGTTTGTTTGATGTTGTTTTTCATTATGTATACGATATGGTTTATACTAATAAGGGTTCATTTGGTTAGGGAAATTAACCATGATTAACTAAATAATTGAACTTAATTACTTGATATTTAGTATACTCAATAACTCCAAATTTCCAAAGTCATTGAAGTAGAGAGTTGTTTCTTTAGGATGTAAGGACAGAAAACAGTCCATACCGCATATTATATACAGTACAGCCGAGCACGCAATGCGCCACGGCCACGTAAAATTGGCCTAAATTTGCTCTACAATCGCCTCCGATGAAAAACACCAAGAGGCGGCATAGACAAAGGATAGTGGAAAAGCTATTCAAGATTGATTCAGACAAAACATTAATAGCTTTAGCACACTTGATGAAGAAAAAGATCACTATCTCGATGTATGATGGTGTAGAAGAAAATCTCTGTTCGTCAACTTATCAGCCGTCGTGCATATCGACTAGGCGTCTACACGATAAGCGACTATAAAGACATCGGTTGCCAAAATATATGAGAAGGTTAGAGGACAAAATTCGAGATCACGCTAATAAACGACACATAATTCGGTTTAGCTGGATTAATCATTTGTTTTGGAAGATTAATCATTATTAACTAAATCGTCTAGTTTGAAAGATTAGACAATATTAACTAATTAAAGGTTAATTTTCGTTTCCGCTGACTCCGGTTCGTTCAAATGGAACAATGGTGGGGCCCACAAGGATTCTGCTTCGCAGATGGCGGCGGATAAACACGAGTCGCCTTGTTCGATCGGAGGGTTCAGTATGGGTTCGGCGGTCTCTATGCCGGCTTCAGTTGGCATGAGAAAGCCATTTAATAGATTTGTGTGATTTTTTGCTTTTTCTTTATGGTTTTGAGTATGAATTGAGTTTGAATCCAATTTCATTTATATGATTTGTCAACCTATCTATTTAAAAAATTTATTAAGATCCACAACAACCTCAAACCAAGTTATACTAAAAAGATTTTCTTAAATAGAGTATGGATACAGATAGGAATACGAGGGTGTAAACGAATTGAGTAGAGCTGGATGCATGATTTTAAACACGAATCTAACTTAAGTAGTTTGATTTTTTTATACATTTTTTTTCTTCCAATTCTTTTCGCTAATTGAACTCGAGTCGAACTTTGCAGCTTATCATAAGCTTCAATTGAATAAATATGGGAAAAAAAATACAGTTTTATCTCTCAAGTTTGCACCGATTTCACATTTAGTCCCTCATGTTCACAAAAAAAAAAAAAAAAGATTTGATCCCATGTTTCAAAAATTCAATATTTTTAGTTATTTCTATCGAATTTTCGTTAAAACTAACGAAATTAAACATGTGCCCATCGACTCTAATAAGCGGGTTAATTTTCTCGGCTAGAGTAGGGCTATATAGCCTATAAGCTGGTAAAGTTTAATTTTGTGGAAGAATTAAAGAAAGTGGTTAGGGAGCTTATATCTAACATGGTACAAACCTAGTTTTTATTGTTTTGACTACGGTAGTTTAATTGATTTACATTGTATAAACCACGTGCAGAATTTTGTGTGAGTTGATTATACTGTATAAATCTTGTTTATCACTTATTTTTAACATTGTTTTTGCTTATTACAGTTCTATAGTAATGGCGTTCAATATAAATCCGAAATTAAAGAAATACATGATGTCATGACCCGAACTTGAATCTATACAAATCAGGTCCGATTGTATGTAAGCTTGAGTCAACTCAAACTCGACCCATATGATTTGATTGTCAGCCCTACTGATCAAGATAATTAGGCCTTCCGAAACTTGTCTTCTAGACTAAGTTTGGCCCACAAGATATATTTTAATCTCGTACATATCAGCATACTTAATTAAAGTTAGTTTTAAATATATAAACCAAACATGATTAGGGTCGCCAAACTTCAACTAACTTCTTAGCCTTCTTAAAAAAAATAACAATTTTTAAAATATATTCATTTATTCAAGAAACTTAATTAAGATTTAATAAACACTACAACTTTAAAATATGAATATTTTTAATAAATAAATGGAGTGATATTGGTGTTTTCCTAAGGTTAATTTTCTCGACTAGAGTAAGGCTATAAGTTCGTATAGGTTGTTTCTATACTACACCCGGTGAAGACTACACTGTTGATTTTTTAGAGTTTGATCTACACACCACTGTGGATGTGTGTATATGAATGGTAAGATTTACTCGATATATTTCACCCGATGTAGCATAGAATAAACCAGTTGGTATAAGTTAATTAATTGAATTAATGAAAGAAGTTAGCCGCCGGTATTTATATATAAGGTACAAAGTATAAACCTACTTTTTTGTTTAGAGTTAGACGGTTATTTCTATGCTACACCTGGTGAAGACTACACCGGATGATTTTTCACCGTTGATCTACACAGATAAATAATAAAGATACCCAGTATATTTTAGCCGGTGTAGCATAAAATAGACCGAGTTAAACTACCTTAATTTAATTCAATTGTATGAACCACGCGCAAATATATTTTGTATATATATACATCCACACACCACTTCAATATATCATTCAAGATAAGTTAAGAGAACAATTAAGCTGAGTGAAGAAGATGGCCATGAAAATGAATACCAACGGCTTTCAATCCCCAAAATACCCTTCTTTTTCTCTGCCGGCAGTTGTTACTACTAGCCTCCGATCTCCTAAGCTTTTCATGGCGACTTCTTCGTCTCTTCGCTCTCGTTCAAAGTAAGGGTTTCTTTTGTAATTTACTTTACCTCTTTTTTCGTATAATAGCAAGTTTAATTTAATTATGTTCGAAATTTTATTTTATCACGTAAATTTGAATTCGCATGCATGCAGCGAGGTCGAGACGAAAGTGAAGAATTCGCCTCGTAGTCCTTGTCATGTTCAAATCACACACTCTATGCCACCACATAAAATTGAAATCTTCAAAGCTATGGAAAGCTGGGTTGAAGACAACATACTTGTTCACCTTAAACCTGTCGAAAATTGCTGGCAACCTCAGGATTTCTTGCCGGACACCGCTTCCTCCGACGAATTTCATGATCAGGTGAAGGAACTGAGAGAGAGAGCTAAAGAGATTCCAGACGATTATTTTGTAGTTTTAGTGGGTAATATGATCACCGAAGAAGCCCTTCCAACGTATCAAACAAGTTTTAATACCTTCGATGGGATCCGTGATGAAACAGGTACGTGCACAGTGGGGAAACCATCATAGGAGTAAGGAGGGCAATGAACCTCAACGTTTCTCAAATCCCTAATATTTTAAATAGAAATTTTGTTTTTTCATGTACTCTCGCACTATTCATGCCACCAAAAAACATTTTGTTTATTATTTGACCCACATAACATAAAATTGTGTCTTCGCCACTACAGGTGTGAGCCCTACACCCTGGGCAAAATGGATAAGGGCGTGGACAGCCGAAGAAAACAGACACGGCGATCTTCTTAATAAGTATCTCTACTTATCAGGACGAGTAGACATGAGACAAGTCGAAAAGACCATCCAATATTTGATTGGATCGGGAACGGTAATTAATTGTGTATTTATAATAGTAATGTTTGTACATTGAATAATTGGTTCGTACATTGAAGTAGACAACTGTTTCTTTAGGATGTAAGGATAGAAAACAGTCCATACCGCGGATTTATATACACATCGTTTCAAGAAAGGGCTACCTTCTTCGCCCACGGCAATACAGCCAAGCACGCAAAGCGCCACGGCGACGTAAAATTGGCCAAAATTTGCGGCACAATCGCCTCAGACGAAAAACGCCACGAAACGGCGTACACAAAGATAGTGGAAAAGCTATTCGAGATTGATCCAGACGAAACAATAATAGCTTTAGCAGACATGATGAAGAAGAAGATCACCATGCCGTCACACTTGATGTACGATGGTGTAGACGACAATCTGTTCAACCACTTGTCAACCATCGTGCATCGACTAGGTGTCTACACGATGAGTGACTATACGGACATCATAGAATATTTTGTCGGAAGATGGAAAGTTGAGAGTTTGAGAGGATTGTCGCCGCAAGGGCAGAAAGCTCAAGAGTATGTTTGTCGGTTGCCGGAACATATGAGAAGATTGGAGGAGAAAATTCAAGATCAGGCTAAGAAACGACCGTTGATTCCGTTTAGCTGGATATATGGTAGAAATGTTTGAGCCTGTCTTTCTTGTTGTAATACTTGGTACTGAGTTTGTTTGTTGGTGGCCTAATTGAATTAAGGCCCGTTTCATTCGAAAGATTAATCATTATTAACTAAATGTCTTGTAACGAGCTTTTAAATAAACACCTAGAGGCCTAATTGATTTGAAAGATTAGTTATTATTAAATAAATGTCTCGTTCATCTCGCAAATATTATATTATCTATAATTTTTCAGTGAAATGATTATCCTTTATGAATATTTTTTCAACAAATCATATCTTAATAAACATTTAAGATTTCAGACCTACAAAATATTTAATTTTCGTATATTAAAAATGTTTAAATATTATTTATAAAATAAATCTGGTCGAACTGAGAGGAATTTATTTAAATAAAGAGTAGATTTAATAAAAAAGAAATATTTAACTTTTTTAAAAAAAAAGTATAAATAGTAGAAATTGAAAATGTAGCAATTTTTATTCAAAAAAAAAAAAAAGAAAATGTAGCAATTTGTTCGAGGCCGTAATCAAAACGGAAGAACTTGAAAGGCACGGAGAATCGCTTTTCGGTATGGCCAACCTTCAAGGCAAGAGATTCGTCATCAATAAATTAATATCGGCCGGCGCCCTTGCTCTGCTAATTGGCTTTTCAGTTTGAAATAAAAACCTAATTCTGATCCACAGAAATTTGAAGGATTTTTCAATTTCATAATCATAATAATAAAAATATATATATATATAAGATGTGACGATTTGTTCGAGGCCGTAGTCAAAACAGAAAATTTGATAGGCACGGAGAATCGCTATTGGATGTGGCCAACCTTCAAGGCAAGAGATTCGTCATTGATAAATTAATACCGGCGCCCTTGCTCTGCTAATTGGCGTTTGTTTTCATCTGCTTTTCACAGTTTCTATTGAATTTACCCCCAAATTATGGAATCAACGGAGAAAAGCTCAAATTTTGAAATAAAAATGAAATAAAAATGTGGCGATTTGTTCGAGGCCATAATCAAAACAGAAGAATTTGAAAGGCACGGAGAATCGCTGTTTGGATGTTGCCAACCTTCAAGGCAAGAGATTCGCCATCGATAAATTAATATCGGCGCCCTTGCTCTGCTAATTGGCTTCTTCTTCTTCTTCTTTTTTCTTCTAAATATTTGAATTTTGATTAAGTAATAAGATTCAGATCTGAGATTAATTGAAAATACGAAGCAAAATTACGAAACTGTAAAACTGAATTTCAGAGCACTGAGCTGCTTGAAGAAGACGATGGTGAATGGAAGTGTGACGAGCGGTGGTATTTATAAGACGAATAACTAGGGCGGCACCAGAAACCCTAGTTAGGAAATGACCAGATTGCCCCCGATTACCTTCAAATTGAATTCGATGGTGATTTCCTATAATACCCTCCAAACCCTTCCCCAAGAAAACACAGGTGATGAATTGACAGTAGTGAGTGAGAGAAGGCCTTAAACCCAAATTCAGCAAAGCAGCGAAAAATAGGAATACAGGAATGGATCATATAGCAGCAGCAGAAGAGAGATTGGTCAACGAGAGATTGAGGCAGAAGCTGAATGAGGTCAACGCCGCCGCACAGTCGCATCTCGCCGGTGTACAAGACCACATCAATTTCACCCTCCAGGTATTTATTTATTTATTTATTCCCCCACTTCCTTCAAACAATTTGTGTGTGCGTGTTTGTGTGAATGTGTGATGATTTAATTAACTAATTTAATTAATGTATGGGATGTGGTTGGCAGCAAGCGTACTTCAAGTGTGCGTACGAGTGTTTTGACAGGAGGAGGAAACAAGACGAGATTGGCAACTGTGTCGAGCATTGCAGCACGCCTGTTCTCCATGCCCAGAATCTTGTCGAAAATGAAATGGCTAAATTTCAAGTATCTATCTCTCTCTCTCTCTCTCTCTCTCTCTCTCTCTCTCTCTCTCTCTCTCTCTCTCTCTCTCTCTCTCTCTCTCTCTCTCTCTCTCTCTCTCTCTCTCTCTCTCTCTCTCTCTCTCTCTCTCTCTGAAGTGTTGTTTGTATGGGGTTGCTTTCGAAAGTTGAAATGTCGGTCTGATAAAAGATGAATTTCTAGTTTGTGCATATAATTGTGTATATATATACACACACACACACACACACACACACACACACACACAACATATATATTTACACACACACACACACACACACACACAAATATATATATATATATATATATATATATATATATATATATATATATATATATATATATATATATATATATATTTCTGTGAGTTGTAATTTCCTTTTGCATGTATAGGTGGAGAAGATTCCCAAGTCATT